TGTAAGTTGATCCACTTGAGATATTCTACAACTACACGTATGTTGAGTTATAAATTGTCAATTACTTCAAACAAAGTGTGAATTGCAAGTGAAACCTAAAAATAAAAAATATTTAAAGTTATACCTATGATCAACATAATATACATAGTTTGCTATTTTTACATTTAGATTTCTCACATTATTGCTAGTTTCCCTCAGCAGCTTTTCATATTTGATTGCAAACTTTGTGAAAGTGCTATGTGCATTATCCCTATCCTTACAAAATCAAGATTGGATTGTTTGGTGCAATGCTTCTAGAAGTGCTTGAATTAAGTAATTCTTCGCCGCTTTCGTGATAGCATTTACAGATTCTACTATGTTTGATGTTATAGTAGAGTATCTATTATTTAGCATGTGCAATCTTGACCATTTTTCATATCCAACATTCATCTAAAAAATAATTTTAGTTATTAGATAATATATTCCGGCGTAAGTAACAATATTTCACATACGGTCACAGTTAACTCTAAAATGTTTACAGATAGTCAGTATTATTACGAAGAAGGTGACAGATGGCCACATTCATAAAATATATCATGTTTTAATTGTAAATGAGGCTACATACTAAACATTCACCGATATTTTTCATTCATAATCATGATTCAATTTCTTGTAACAATAAATGAAATATAGTTCTTACATTAAACATGCATAATCATAGATATTTACAGACATTTCATAATATCACAGAACAAGTCACAAAAAATCATAATATATGTTACAGACATTCACATACCAAATATCCCTTGATCTCTTCATTTATTGAGTCTAATTGCTGCATTTGGTATTCAAATTCTTCCATTGTATACGCTCTAACAGTAGAATTGAATACATGTGTGATATTGTGACCTGATTTTGCGTAATGAGTCTTCAAATATTTAAGCAAATGGTATGAACAGATCCCATGTATTACCTCTGGATATTCGAATTCAGTGGCATTTCTTATGCTAATGTGTCTATCTGATACTATACATAATCTGTCTCTCGATCCATATGCCCTCTTCAACATCTCAAGAAACCATGTCCTTGACTTTTCATTTTTATTATCCCCAATCTCAAAAGCTAGTATGAAGGTGTTATTGTTTGCATCTTGTGTACAAGCCGTGAAGAGTGAAATCCCATAGTGGCCATTTAAATATATGTCATCAACTATAATGACTGACCTATAATATTTTCAACCAATGATCAATGCACCCAAAGCCAGAAAATAATATTTAAATCTATTTAAATGATCTGTTTATATTCTTGTGACTGTCCCCATGTTCATCCATTCTAGCATAAAGAAATAAGACGGCAGCAACTGAAATGATGTCGTTGGATCACCTCTAATCAATTTTAATGTTTGTTCACGTGGTTTCCACACTTTCACATAATTTACCAACACTCTATATTCATGTAACATGTCATTCGAGATATTATTAGGAGTGTATATTGTACATGAAGGGGTTATATGTATCTGATGCAGTTTGACACAATTAAGCTAAATGCTTGTCGATGAGATCCTAAAACAATGTTTATCGAGCATGTGTGACTATTATACATTTTCCTGATCTTAAACATTTTCGTTTCTCCCAAGCGAGAAGATCTAAATATTCATTTGCAATGATTATGCAAACACTTTAGCATGTACTTCTTCTTGTCTGATCTCAACACCTTATATTCAAACTTGTTTTGTATAACATAGAAGGCAAACCTCATTTTTAGTATGTCTTTGTTACAAAAAACATTTCCCTCAACTACTGCTCTAAGATCTGCTTCGGATACCAATGTCACATCTTCTTCAATATTTTCTTTGTCAATGAGCTATTTGTTCTAAAGAAAACACACTAGCTGATGACTCGACGGAAGTAGTCGACAACTTTGGGCATTGTAATGTATATCTTGATTGCCATGAAACTGTAGTGATAACATCAGCTATAATAGGATGACTCGATACAACCACATCCAAAGATTTTAATCACAAATACGTTAGGACATTATTATTACTCAAAATTCGGACTGGAGTAAATTAGAATCCAAAGAATATGTCATTGTCATAGCTAAGTTTGCACCATTAAGCCCAAATTCTGAAAGAACAAGCTCGACCAATTCATCATACTTGCATGTATCATTCACTAGTATAAGTGACGTGTGACCTCTGTACAATAGGCAAGCGTGCAAAATTGACATTTTTAATCATACACAGAAAATCCAATTCCTTTACAGCCACAATTTCTCTCGAAAAATGAAAATCAGAAGTATGTCTATAGAATTATGACTTCATTCATGGATCGTGGATTAAGATCGTGGATTAAAATCGAGGATTAACAGTGATTATATGTTTACCTTCGAAATCAGACCACAAGAATTCAGTTTTTGCTTTGGGAAAATCTGATTTCGCCACAGCCAGCTTCAACTTCTCCAAAGCAGTAAAAATCAAAAGTATTTCGACAGGATTGTGACCTTATTCATTGATTGTGGCTCGAAATCTAGGAAAACCGTAGATTTTTGTGATTTTGGAGATGCTCGACGAGATAAGTTTGTAGAGAGAGAAAGTTCATTTGGTTGTGAGAGGATTGTGAGAAAAATCTTTTAAATATAGTATAGTAAAATTTGTAGGAGTTAATTTGGTATAGTATATTTAATCCAAACTTAGTGTATATTATATTATAATTATATATTTAATATTATGGTTTAACACCTGATTTATGGAAAATTTTAGGGAGTTTGTCAATTTTTAAATGTGTTTTTATAATGTAGTAATTATGTAGTGTTCCCAAAAAAATAATCTTAACCCAATCTTTCCTCCTATCCCACTCTCTCTATCCATTACAAACCTCTACCACCTCCAACCTTTCCCTCCCTACCCCACTCTCTCACCACCACATCCGCCACCAACACAACCATCTTGCCACCAAATTTGTAAAGAAGTCAAATCCAAACTACCATCATTGCTATCAAAATTGATCTATAATACCATCATCGAGTCTGCATCGCCACCATCCAAGTTGCCCTATTGCCATCGCCACCATCATCTATTTCCACCACCACTAAAACTTGCATATGACCACCATAAAAAATCAGCACCCAAACCCAATCTCGCTACTAATACCATTATCACCACCATCATTATCATTTCACACCATAGTTGACTTTGTAACCACCACTACTGTCATTACCGCCACCATCATTGGAGTTTACTTGTATGATTTTTGCTTTTATTTTTATAATATTGAATGTGTAGATGGTTGCCATAGTGATGGTTTTGTGATGGTTCATGGTGGTGGTAATTGGTTTTGTGGGGGTTTGTAGTAGGCATCGATGATAGTGATAGTGGTGGTGGTGCGATGGTGCAAATTTATTGGTGTTTGTTGTAATAGGCACACAATGTACACATTTACTGATTTTTACTGTGATTTAGGTTTCGAAGGTGGTGGTGATTGTGGGGGATATCAATGTTGGTGGGTGATCGTAGTTGTTAGGTACGTAAGTTACAATACAAAAAATAAAAAAATAAAAATGTATAAGATAACAACGATGGTGGTGGTGATGGAGTGGTAACGATGGTGAGATGGTGGTATAACATTTTTTATTTTTGTTAAAATTTTAAAGAAATTAATTATATTGTAAATAGGGGTGTCAACAAGTCAAGTAGAGCTAGCTCGCGGGTCGGAGCTCACGACTCGTGCACGGTCCAACAAAAAAAGCTTAGGCTTTTTGAGGCTTGGCTTGGGCTTCACCGAGCCGAACATGGTTGGGTTGAGTCGGCTCAAGGTTTTTTTTTGTGATATTTTAAATTCTTTTTAACAATATAAATTTTGTGTAATTTATATTAATTGTAGATTAAATAAAACAACCCTTCTCTTTTTTTGGATTTGAAACGGACTACAATCAACGTAGGTAAGATTTAAGTGCCTATTTGAAGCACAATTTTTTTTGCCTAATAATGCATTTTGAAATAGTAGATTGATGGAGAATGTGTGATTAAAAAATAAAGAAAATATTTGAATTTGTATGTAATATTATTTTATTAAAAAATGTGTGGTATTGAAGATAAGAGAGAAAAATGCATTTTGAAAATAATAGGGATCAAACAAACGTTAAAATTATACAAAAATAAAATATTTCGTGTATAATTTTTAAAACAAATGAATTTAAAAATTACATAATTAAATTTAATTGGGTTGACTTTCAAACTATCTCACAGTAGATGTACCAATTTGGCTCACGGGCTTAGACGGCTCGAAAACTTAGGTCGAGCCTGCCAAGCCTCACATGTCATTTTCGGCTCGTGACGAACTGAGCCTTAAGAAAAAGAATTAAAAATTAAAAGGTAGGCATCTACATGCTACCTGTGTCGGCAACAAGTCACAAGCCTAGTTAAAAAGAAAAAAAGAAAAGATATTGTGAGCCGACTTGGCTTAATAAGACCCTAGTCGAAAGCTCGGGTTGCCTATATTTTTTGATCGACCAAAAGTTCGGTTCGATGTGGATAAAAAAAAGTTCGAACTATTTTTACTCGAATCAAGTCCAAGTCTCGAGTTCGACTCGCGAGCCAACTCGACTTGACTCGTTGACGTCTCTGTCTCGACTGTAGGGAGGTAATGGCCTCAAATAGGTTACTCATACCCAGGCCCGGGCGAGGCTCAACATGGCGCGTAAATAGTGGGTGTTAATCTTGGTTGCATTTTAACTATACTACACCTTATAACATCATAATATATCCTCGTCGCTCCGTTGCTTGTAATTCACACAGCGTCCTCCTAACCAACGACTCTCCACCGATCTGTTAATTCAGCGATCCAAACAAAAAACAAATTCTTACTGAAATTTTTTCAATCAATTCTCATTACTTTTCTTAGAAATGCTCACAAAAATTTAATTTATTGACACAGAGTAACACAAATCAAGTTGTAAAGTCAGTTGCATTTTGCCCTTTTGATGATCAAAGGATAGGGTATTTCTGTTGATTCATTCAATCAATGGCGTCGTGGCTCAAAGCCGCCGAAGGTACGATTCTTAAACTCCATCTCTAATTTTTGAAATTTTTTAGTGGATGTATAGTCTAATCTTGATTGTACACTATTCAAGTAATTAAACGCCCACATTTGTCTGCATTCTAATACTTCAGTTCCGAGCTAAAGATGTTCTACTAAGAATGATTATATAAGGAAAAACTATGTGCATTATGTAAAGAATTTGTGGCATGTGTGGGCAATATCGGTTCGCTTGTCGGTTCCGTTGTTGAGTTTTATGTTCCAATATTTAATTGGCTATTGGAGAAGGGGTCCATGCTAACTTAGATGTAACTTTGTAATTGTGATCATGTCTGTGCCAGATTTATTTGAAGTAGTAGATAGAAGAGCCAAGCTTGTTGCTGGCGAGAAATCAGATGAACTGCCTGATGTTCAGGCCCCAGGTATTATTCTGAGGCTCTCAGTTATGATTCTTTCTTCTTTCTTTTTCATTTACCAGGGGTGGGGGTGGAGTGGGGTGAGGAATCAGTAACAGTTAACATAAGACTCCATCTTTGTAAGTTCTCATATTACCCCTGTTTGGTAGGGATTAAAATCAGATTTTTAGTAGATTATGATAAAAGTCAATGAAAAGTGTAGTTGAAAAGTTGTGGATCCAACAAAATATGTTTATTAATTTTGATTTAGATTATAATCTACCCAGGGGCTAAAACTTACTGATTCATTGCTCGTTATTCTGAAGTTAACCAAATAAATGCCTGCTGCACCATTTTATTTTTGAATTTCTGAGATGATCTGATGGAGACTATGTCGCTGCCTTCACTCTTTTTGAAAGAACAATGTACTATACATTTGAGCATCTCATGTTGTTGTTGTAATAATCCCCCATCTTATCAACTCCATTTTATAGGCAAAAGGAAAAAATGAGATGGCAAATGCCCTAATATGTAATGGCGAATGCCCTCATATGTAATATTTATTTTTATTCTCACCAATTAAAATTAATTGATTGAATAATTCCTTTTTCTTTTCTTCCTGTGTTCGTTGTGCCATTGTGAAGCTTCCAATGGACAAGGATCTCCAGCAAGGAGGGCCAGGCCAAGAGCGAAGGTATTTCATGGAATTCTCTATTCTTGGTTATTAATAGATCTTTTAAACTTGTATGCTGTACTTATTTTGTTCTAACAAGAGAGTTATTTCCAGTCCCAAAAGAGACTTTCTTCCAACAAAGCTCCAGTAGATGTTGAAAGGGAGAAAACTTCACCAGAAACAGCACAGAAGCATGTAGTCCCTGATGTAGATATGCTGATGCCATCAATTGAAAATAATGACAGTAATTCTGGTACTCCTAGACACACTAACAATGAAGAGCAAGGCAATGTTGATGGAGATAGCTCCACAACTAAGACTGCTTTATCTAGTACAATATCTAATGATGAGGCAAAACCTGTTGCTGATCATCTGGATGCAGCTAGTGTTTCTAATTTGGAATTAGCTCCTTCAAATTCAAATGATGAAATTGGGAGTGAAGACACTTCAGATGTTCCTGTTGGAGCTCCATCTATTGTTTCTAAAGGAGTGGAAATTGTGCAAGGTGACTATCCAACTGACTCCAGTCAAAATATCACGTCAGAAGATGCAGTGTCTTCTAAAGATATGGAACAAGTAGATTCTCAATCTCTACATGCAAATGGTCCTAGCAAAGTTGATGCACAGTCGGCACATGTGGATTTAGTAGTTGAACCTAATACTGAGCAGAAAAAGCATCAAGAGCAGAAAAATGTCCCTTCAGCGATGAAAGTGCAAGAGCAACTGGATGAGGTAAGGGGTGTATCATCGGAGAACTTGTTGGTTGGATTTCTTTCTTAAAAATGTGTAAATATTTGGGATGATGGTTTTTCCGCTTTTTGTGTAGACTAAATCATTTTAGTTTAACAGGCTCAAGGACTACTCAACATTGCGATCTCAACTGGTCAGTCAAAAGAAGCTAGGTTAGCTCGGGTAAGAATTATTAGTCTTCCATGATTGGTTGTACTTATATTGGTTCACAATTCTATCACCATTTTCTTTGTTCAGTAGATTTTGATAAAAGTTGATGAAATGTGTGGTTGAAAATGAACTTGAGGAAAAAAAAGTTTTAGAAAATGGTGGCCTAACATGGGATAAATTTATTGACTATTATCATTATTATCCCTAATACTACTAGAGGACATTCCCATGTACTCTATCTTAGTTCTACTTAATATGTTGTCTTTCGATTCCGAAGTACTCTTCAAAAGTTGTAACTCGTGATATAATCCCTCCTAGTATCATGCACTAAGACTGTCATTGGTGCGAAACATAAACCAAAATATCATCTTGGATGTCTCCTAAGCTCGTTCATGAATGACATGGAAATACGTGGACTAAAGGCAAAACTTGATGTAAGCAGTCAGTGATAGGAACTTCTTTATTACTGCTTCCATTACATCTCTTATACATTGTGCTTATTTGGATAAAATTATAACCACATTATAATTTAAAGGTCAAAGTCAAACTTTAATTTCATGGTATGATTAATGATCTTCATACCTCTATTAAAAACTTTTTAAGGGTTGTGGTCCATATTTGTTTTTTTCTTGTTTTTCTAATAAAGAACGTTCAGATTTTGTTGAGCATGAGGAGAATTAATTGGAAAAGCATGTGGCAATTTACACCATTCCAAGACAAGCATTCCTGAAATAGATTGAAAGAATATAAGGAATGCACTTAAAACTTGGAATCTAGTATCTCAACTAGGACTGCAATCAATTAAATGAAATCTACGAAATGCTCCTGAAACCATTTTAGATACAAAGTAGTCGATAACATCTCTTTTTAAGTATTATCACAATTTTTATTTAAATGGGTATTATTGTGCAATAATTTTTGTTTTCTTTTTTCATCTTTTATTAATCTTGATGTTGGTCATTCTCAGGTCTGTGCCGGACTTTCTTCACGCTTGCAAGAGTACAAATCTGAAAATGCTCAGTTAGAAGAGCTTCTTACAGCAGAGGTGAATTATCAGCTCCTTTTCAATCTGAGATGAACCGAAACTTCATATTAACCATTTTGTCGAGTATAACATTTGATTAAATGACTTCTAAATGTTGATGCTCTACTTTAACAGAGAGAGTTGAGTAAGTCATATGAAGCTCGCATAAAACAGCTTCAGAAAGATCTATCTGCATCCAAAAGTGAGGTGACTAGGGTGGAATCAAATATGGTTGAGGCATTAGCCGCAAAGAATTCTGAAATCGAGGCACTTGTCAGTTCTGTTGATGCACTGAAGAAGCAGGCTGCTTTATCTGAAGGAAATTTGGCATCACTTCAGGTTCTAATAATTTTTACACGATGCTGAATCATGAAGTACTTTCTTTCTGTGAAAGCTATTATCATCTATCCTTTCAAATTATGGTCTCGAAGCCAACCAGGCGATCAAGTTGCAGTTCTACTGGGTTGAGTATTTGAACAATGCAGGTTCAATGTATTCCATAAACCAATGCTATTAACCCCTCAACGGTTTATTGCATTTTCTCCTGGAATTTCTTTTTTTAACCTTCTCATATTCTTTACCTTTCTTCCTCTCCAGTAGGACAGGTAGTAACTGTGAAATGATTTGAGAAATAATCCAAGAAAACTAGCTGCTTGCTTTCAAACATGAGCCTATCGTGCTCATGTCAAAAGTTTTCTTTTCTCTTGGGGTTTTTAGCCTCTTCTGGATAATTTTCAGCTAAATTACAAATCTATGTAGGATACATCTAGTTACTTTGTTATCTGAATTTTGATTTGTTATCTGTCATGACGTTCATACCTTAATTCACTTGCCATACCTATGACTCTATCACGTCAAGCGTTTTATTCCTTTTTAATCCTTTCTCTATTTATCTTTAGGCAAACACGGAGTCTTTGAGGAGAAATAGGGAACTAACAGAGACAAGGATGATGCAAGTAAGCTGACCCGCGTTTTTGATTAGTATGGAACCTGGTTGTTTGGAGTTGCATATTTATTCTAGCAACTGTGTGTCATAATGGAGTTCTCATATTGTAAAGATGTTTCTATGTCAGGCTCTAAGGGAGGAGTTGACTGCTGTGGAGCGAAGAGCTGAAGATGAGCGTGCTGCCCACAGTGCTACTAAGATGGTATTTACCTGAAAACATCTTTTATCAGTGTTTTCTTATAAGTTAATTATGCTTCATGCTGTTCTTTTATGATATTTTTTTTTATGTGTGCCCGTGCCTCTGTTTGTGTTTGTCTGTTGTATTCATTCTTGAATTTGTTTCCATTTATATTTTTTCTTTTCAAATTTCTTTTTGTGTTTTTCTTTGATGCTACCATGGTGGAGCATTTTCTGGAGATGTGATAAACTTTTTGATGGAAATACAGGCTGCTAGGGAAAGGGAAGTAGATTTGGAACACAGGGCTGTTGAGGCATCCACAGCATTAGCCAGGATCCAGGTACTTGAGGGACCCAATTAATGTCATGTACAGTATCATGGGCATAAATTAAACTTGTAGCACTTCTTGTTCTGTCTGTATCTTGATTTGATTTGAGGAAAATATTTTGGCTTAACTTAGTAGTTAGCACTGTCTCTGCTTAAAGGGTTTCAAGCTGTATGCATAAGAGATATTTATTGACCTCACTATATTTAATTAGATACTGTTAAATAAGATGATAAGAATTTCTGAGCCTTCAAAGTTATTTTTGAAATATGGCCTCCTTACAAAACGAAGTGCTTGTTACCTTCATAGAACAATCATTTTGCCAATATTATTTATATTGGCATTCTCCAACACCTATAAGATAAGGGTTTTTTATTTGAGTTGAGTATTACTAGTACTAGCAATAAAATTTGTTCGACTTGCTCACAGTCCTTAAATTTTCTCACCCTTTGTTTAATTTTTTTTATTTTTTGCATTTTTTATTGCCATTACAGTTCAATAGTTTCCAATATACTCGTGTTTACTCAATCTTAAGCGCGTCTGTTATTTGTCCAGAGAACAGCAGATGAAAGGGCTGCAAAGGCTGCAGAGCTTGAGCAGAAGGTGGCATTGCTAGAGGTAATGCTCTGCATTTTTCTCCACCTTTACCAAGGTCCACCTTCACCCCCACCCCTAAAAAACATGAAGAAGTGAAAGGGTAGCACTTGGCGAAAGCTCATGTTATTAAAAAACTATATTGCACTAGGTTGAATGCACATCGTTAACTCAAGAACTGCAAGATATGGAAGCTCGTGCACGTCGTGAGCAAAAGAAGGTCCCTGAAGATACAAATCAAGCCATTCAGGTTGAATAACTGTGAACTGAATCTTCTACTACATAGTATATTTGAGTTTCTGTCAAGCTGGCTATATATTGTTTATTATCAACTATTCTTACATTAGCTGGTAAGGTGGTGTACTAATGTCCAACATTGGAAAGCCTTTACATTCGTCGGTTGTATTATTTTTTAACCACACATTTCATGGGACTCAAAACTTTTATCAACTGCACATTTCATCAACTTTTATAAAAATGTACTAAAAATAGATTTTAAACTAAACCAAATAGGGGCTTGGTTACTTTCCCTTGATTTCATAGGAAACTCAGCACTTCCCATGGTTGAATCACCGGTGCATTAAAGAAAAGGACCCAGGTTTCAAGATTTATTGACCTGGTCTCCATGCCTTTCTCCGTAGTTTTCGTTTATCTTAGACTGGGCTCTTTTGTTTTATTAACTTGAAGATGGAGTTGGGAAATGTTCTACATCATTCCTTCATTGTTATATTTTCCTGTTTGACTTATGTTATTCAATATTCTATAGTCTTGACCTGCTTTATGTTCACTGCTATAAGCATGTTGATTTGGGTTTCAACTTGTTTTGTTGGTTTGACTTGATTCCTATGTTCTTTTGATAGTGTACACCTTGAAAAGATCTCTATGCATGGCTACTATGCATAGGCATGTAACTTATTTTGTAGTAAAAAATAGAGGTTGAAATGCCACTTTAAAATTATGCAAGTATATTTTTTTCTCAACTTCATCCTATTTTGTTATTGATGATGCAGTCCCTAAAATCCATCCTGTTACCAAATATTTGTTGTATTTTCGAACTGTAGCATGTCTTCTTCCCTGAAGACTCTTTTGCACTTATTATATTAAGATAAGATGCTTTTCTTGTATTATTTATGAATATCTCAAGTGCGCTATACATATTAGTTTACTATTCATCTAGAACGAATTGGAACCTGATGTGACTTAGCACTCTGAGAGCAAATGGGATAGTTTTCAGTAGGTTTTATGTTACTTGTGATTTTCATATGAAAGGTGCAAGCATGGCAAGAGGAAGTGGAGCGTGCACGCCAAGGTCAGAGAGAGGCTGAGAACAAGCTTTCCTCGATGGAGGCAAGTTTGTTTGTAAACTTACAGCTATTTGTACTATATTCATGAATATAAAGTTAATCAAATCTTTAAGGTGGTGCACACTACTAAATGCTAGATGCCATCATTTTTAGGCTGAAGTTCAAAAGATGAGAGTTGAAATGGCAGCAATGAAGAGGGATGCTGAACACTACTCACGTCAGGTCTCGTTTCTGCATTAGCATAATTTTTCCCAACTGAGATACTTTTCTTTAAAGTTTATTTACATATTGCTGACAACGGGAGAATTTTGAATATAATAAAGAAATGAATTATATAATTCAAGGCCTAAAGCCAAGAGATGATTTATTCTATTAATGTGATGCAGAAATAGAGTAAGAGTAAGAATGAGTCTGTACCATCAAAAATGATCTAGTATTGCTCTGCATAGAGCATACCTTCGTGGGGGTACCTCAGCAATGAATTTTTTCAGTTTGTGATTTATGGTTTAGGGTCACAGCTCAAGGCCAAGTGAGTTACCTTGGTTTTTTCTTTTAGTTCTTTCTGTTGATGTAATTAATTTGTTAGGGAGGTTTGAAGTCATATTTGGGAAAGGTGGTTACTCGTGAAATAGTATGTGGAAATTTAGGAATTAGGAATGGACAAAAGTCTAGTTAAATAAATTCCATTCTTAAAGTGTCAAATATACTTCAATAAAAGACTCGATGCCCCTCTTTGTGAGAGGTTCTCTTATTAAATAGGACTAAAATAACAATTAAATATGGAAACAATCAATTACAATATTAATGAATAGTAAAAACAATCTATCTATATCTAATACAATTATAATAATATAATTGTAATCTTTGACGATATCTGGAATCTTATTCAATTTTCGACGATCTCCGTAATCTTATTCAATCTCATTGACATCCCTCCTCAAATTGATGCCGGCAAAAACATTAATTTGCAATCATGAACTAGCGACGGTGACAATACTTGCGTCCACTAAGAAGAAATCCAAATCAAAGCAACCAACTACGAAAATTAGTGACGACGAGAGACTAAGAACAACAAATAATGCAGAAACAACAAAGAACTACTCCAAAGTTACTCCAAGAACACTCCAAAAATACTACGAGAACTTGCACTCCCCAAAAAGAATTTCCAAAAGAAATTCACGAAGTGTGTTGACACACACAGTGAGCTCTATCTGTCGGGAGAGCTTAGTCGAACACATAATTCGTATTCCAACAAAAACTCTAACGTCAAAACACCGGCCAAAACTCCAAATGCTGCAGGTGGAAGAAATCCCACAAAACAGCCTAAACTTGAGCTCATCACCTGAGCAACCAAAACGTGATGATCTGCACTCTCATGTCTCTCTATACTCACGAAACACCATATAAATGGGGGAAAAAGTCAAAGCCCAATCCAAAAAATGAGATGAACAAGGTTAATTTGTTTAGGTGGGGATATGTATTGACTTGTAAAACTGTAAAAAATGATCTTGTTTATTCAAAAAAAAAAAAAAATTGGCCTGGCGAGCAGCATACGGCCGCCCGCCGGAAACGAAATTCAAGGATTAATTTGTTTAGGATCAGAACGGCTCTGATACCATGTCAAATATACTTCAATAAAAGACTCGATGCCCCTCTTTGTGAGAGGTTCTCTAATTAAATAGGACTAAAATAATAACTAAATATGGAAGCAATTAATTACAATATTAATTAATGGTAAAAACAATCTATCTACATCTAATACAATTATAATAATATAATCGTAATATTTGATGATCTCCGGAATCTTATTCAATTTTCGACGATCTCCATAATCTTATTCAATCTCATTGACATAAAGAAAGTGCTTAAATGCATAATTTAAGTTGGTTGCACCTAATATTGTTTATTGACAAATGGACATGCATACAACAAAAAGACAGAATTTGAAAATCAAGGGAGAATGTGACCGATCGCAGATTAACGTGCAATTCAAACTTAAAGAATAAAACAAATTCTAAGAAAATCCTTAGTAACAAATCCTAATTTCTTTCCCTGAAAGTAAGTATCTAATCTTTGAAAGTCTTAAAACAAAATATTATCTTAAACACATAAAGATTAGATCATTATTTAGGAAGAGAAGCTACGATTTATTTCCTTTCCTATTTGGTTACATTAGGTTTTCCATTTTTTAGCTTGATAGCTTTTCATGTTTGCTAAATATTTGAAGTATAAATATGTTTATGGTTTTCTTATTATTAGTAGACTACTGATATTAGGGGCGGATTCAGCATTTTCGTTCAGCTAGGGCGGAGACCGTTGGCCGATGACCATTGACCGATCAACGATTGTAATAGCCGAAAATAAAATTCGCTTATCCCTAAGTTTCCTAAAAACAGTGTACACGTGGTTTAATTGAGCCAAACATCTTCTCCATTAATTTTTCACTTATTCCTAAGTTTCCTAAAATCCTAAATTCACAATCACAATTCACAAACTAAAATTATAAGTCATAACTTATAGTTTAAGACAATAATATAACATAAATTCTCATTTCTCATAATTCATAAATCACAAATTCACAAAAACTAAAAACAAAAAAAATTCACAATTCACATATTCATTATTCATAGCATTGTAGCAACTGCCAACTAGCCAAGCCAACTACTAGCAATATTGAAATGAAGAAGAAGCCTGTGAGTGAGCAAATACCTTTTCCCTCGGCGTCTAGGCCCCAGTCGGCAGTGAATCCCCTGAACAGAGGAGCAGTTGCGCAGACGGCAGTCGACAGACGATTGACGAAGCTCCACTGCTCCTCCAGGCTTCACAGTCCACCCGTCCAGGGACCAGATTCCAGCCCACTGATACCAATTCCACAGTCCAGACTGCGTCTTCACCCGAATAGCCCGTCTCTTGTCTCCCTCCTATGCCGGTGATTTTGTTGTGGGTTAACGGTAAATTTGTAATGGACTTGCAATTTAATGGGCAAAAGTGTTTGTGCTCAATCTTCGTTGGGCCTTATTTTTTAAAATAAATGCCCCGAACAATAATAAGAGGGATTTTTTTTTTATAGGCAATCACGTAAATTTTATAAATAAAAAATAAAAGATAATACACAAGGAGTGCATTATCATGTTAAACAAGATAGAAACGATAAAAAATTCGGCAACCCTTCTATCGGACTAACGGTTGCAACCTTAAACCAACTATACAAAGTCAAGTAAAACAATTCTCTAAATTGCTCTGTTGTTCGTATTTGGTCTTCAAAGCATCTTCCGTTTCTTTCTTTCCACACACACCAAACGATGCATCCTGAAATGAGATTCCAAACACGCTTGCTATTCTTATCTCGAAACTTTCTCTTCCATGCCCACACCACGTCCTTGATACACCTTGGGAGCACCCAACTTATATGTTGCGAAATCAGAATATCATCCTACATCCAACGAACACCATCACAATGAATGAATAAATGATCGATCGTTTCTCCATCTCTCTCACACAAATAGCACCACTCCGTTATACAATAGCCCTTTCTTCGAAGATTATCCGCTGTTAACACCTGTCCCCTCACAACCGTCTACAGTAAGAAAGCCACTCTTGGAGGTAATTTACTTTGACAGGGGAATGAAATCTCAACAGGTTCCAATAAGGATCTGAAATAAGTACGAACAGAGAACAAATCATTACGTGCCTCCCTCCACCTGCTAGTCGTCCTCTCCTATCGGAATGTGCACCTCATACAGAGAGGCTAAAAATAATGCATAATCATCCAGCTCCCAATCATGTAAGCCCTCCTGAAAGCGATATTTCAGCTAGGATTCCCATTAGATATAGCCATAGCATCACTCACCATAGCTGAAGGCTCCAGGGTAATGCGATGTAATCACAAGCGGCTTCTTCTTCACCCCCCTCATCTTCCCGACGGTCGAACGGCGATGCGGAGCTCCCGACGGATCCAGCACGGGCGGCCTCGAGGGCTGGCTAGGTGCTGGATCCGCCCCTAACTGATATTAAATGTTGTTGGAAATTATGAATGGTATAAAATAATTTGCCTAAATATTACAAAGTTTTTTTTTTTATAGATAATCAGGAAAATTTTATTAATCAAAGAATACACAGAAAGTGTTATCAATTTAAATAAGAAAGAAAATATATGAAGTTAGGCAGCTCCTCTATAGGATTGTTAGTCGCTGCATTAAATCAAGTATACAAAGTCAAATAAAATAATTCTCTAAATTGCTCTGCGTTCCGTGTTTGGTTTTCAAAGCATCGGTTAGTCCTTTCCATTCACACACACCAAACTATGCATCACAGGATAAGATTCCATAATAGCTTGCTAAATATTGCAAAGTAGAAGACCTATTTATTGAGTTACAAATATTTATTAAGGAATATGGCATGATAATTACACAATCAATTATTAAGGAAAATAATCCTACTCCATTGAGAAAATATCACGAAGAATAATCTTATAATCTTTCAATAGCTTCAACAAGTACATATTGAACTACTTGATCTAAAAACTTACTTGTTAGAGTCGCATGTATGACATTTAAATGTCTTCAACGTGCCCCATCATGGGTACGAAATAGTACTCTTTTCCCTTCAAAGCCTTAACACGTTTACAATTTCATTAAATAGGTGACGACGAGACTTGAATCCAGCATCTTCGCATGCTCTGATACCATGTTAAACCATTTAATCTAACAACTTAAGTTGTTAGAGAGAGCCGCTTGAATATCATTTTAATATGTCTTCAACAATACAAAATAATTGAAATTTGCTCCTCCGATTCTTCACTCTTCTCCTTCTCTATATATTGTTGTCTTACGTGTTGCATTATATCAGTTTATGTTGTCCCAAAAAGTTATTGTTTTGGGTATTTATTTAACAGTAAAGCAGGAATCCAGAAGTATATAATGCACATAAATTAGAGCATGTTTAATGAAATCTTGAAGCGCTGTAGGGTTATCTGTGATACGAGATTTAACAATAGAGGAATCCAGAAGTATGTAACGCATATAAATTAGAGCAGGTTTAATGAAATCTTGAAGCGCTGCAGGGATTATTTGTGACACGAGATTTATATGAGGTTAAAAAGATAGTTCTAAGAATAGTTATTAGACCTGTTGTACCTATCGAATTTAGGGTTGTTAAAAGTCAAAATTTCTATAAGATGACACTCAAAAATGAGAATGATAAGATGAGTGTGGTGATATTAG